TACTACGTTTGCCTTAGCAGCGTAATAAACATAACATAACATAACATAGAAGCCAACAAATGCTTATCGCAAAGGCAGCAGAAACTGAGGTTATAGAATGTGATAGTGAATGAACCAGTTTCTCATCTCTCGAAGCTAGATTGGGAGCACTTAGCGATGGTCCTTCGAGCATTTTGTTTGGCCCAATGCTGTACACCGCATATATTCGATTAGGATTCGATTGATTGCCATTATGCAGTGTCCTTCTTGTAAGAGCGTAAAGGCCAACAGCTTCACCTCGATGGCTTTAAGAAATGCCTTGTCTACTCGTTTTCAGTTCACACATTATATTCGGAAGGCGTAGTCCAATACCCCCAGATAGCCTCTGTGACATGATCCATCGATTAATGTGCCCATATAGCATTTCCATATACAAGTCGTATGCGGGGAAGCAACCCACGGACAGGATTTTATACGAGAGGATGAAATTTTCGATAGGAGTAAATAACTGTGTATAACCCTCACAATCCCTCATACCCTCATACGTATAGAACAGGGAATGTCTTCTTCAGTGTAACTTTCAGGATGCAGCGCACAGCATTTATCGTGTGCTGGCTCATTTCGACTACAAATCAGTTGGCAGGGTACGATAAAGCGGAGCGATTAGCTGGATCCGGCGGTATAGTTCGAATCGGTCATCTGTTGCCGAATAACCCAAACATCGCTCATGAACCGGAAGTGTTGAGGATGTGCGCTCAAGACCTTAAGGAGAGGAAGATTTTACCAATAAACTACACGCTGCAGTGAGCTTTTAGTATTGTTCTAACAATAATTCAGTTTTGAGCACCCTAATTCTACCAAAACCTCTCATCTAGATATCCCACTAGATTGCGAAAGGCATAGCAACATGTAGTTCATATTGGGAAGATGAAGACCCACGAGACTGAAAAGAAATCGGTCGGCAAGTATATTTTTTCACTGATCAAGGCATCTAATTGTAGAGTCGTCACCATGGAGAGCTGTAACAAGTACTCCGGTGTTGAACACGCGGCTTATCTCCATTATATCAAGAATGCTACAATATATTTTGGCCCAGGATGTAATAATGGTAACTTTATTTCCTTATTTCAGTTATGATTGAGGTTTTTCGAAGCTGTATGATGGGACACTTTAAACCACGTTCCCTTTAAATTCCAAGTGGATAAAAATTGGATTAGAACCGAGAATGAGCAGATGTTATTTATTTATTTGTTCATGCGTGGTTAGTGAACGTGTTAAGAAGTTATGAAAAAACGAGATTAAGAGAGGAGGCGAAATAAATTACCATGAGGAAAGCAAGTTTCCGCTAAACAAGCGGATCGGAAACTGCTTCAAAATAGTGTAACAAATGGGAAATCAGCACGCAACTTTAGCTGCGTTGAAGTACCGCGTAATAGATCAGATTCTGCTAGACATAGCATCTCACGCGAATCGAGTAGTGCAGCGAACGTCCCACATGGCTAGACTCAGAAGCTACCCGTGGCAAAAGCCTGCATCTGTCGACAATGATGCCCACTCACAACTTGAGGGGCCATAGGTACTTGCAGAAAGTCCGAAGCACGGGTGTACCGGCCAACCTCGTGGAAAGGCGAGTGTACAGTTTATCCAGGAGGGGAGGTAATGGGGAAGAGGCAGCACACTCGGCTTGTAAAGAAGAAAATGAGCCGCCTAAGAGGCAAATTATGCTCGTTCAGAAGCCGCAATGCATCACAAAGCTTCAGAAATACCAAGCATTCTGAGAGATTGATTTTTTGGATGACTAATTTAATTAGCATCGAGTTTCTCAGTGTCATCAGCTGTGACGGAAGAGATTCCAACCAGTTCGTTGTACGAATAATGAAGCGATTCGCTCTATGTTAGGATACCCCTTGCCCAATTTGTGGTTCAAGATGCGAAGAACGCTTCTACGACCATGTGTTGGCCGAAAAGTCGCATAACTGGATGGCTCGATGCGTAGATCGTAAGTAAAAGAGATGATTCTGAAGAGAATATAATGTGTTGAAGAACGTTTCATCACTTTTATCTGTTACAGTCATCACTTTCTGGAGCCGTCCTGTGCTAACACCTGTTTGGAGCGCTATCTGCTCTCCCAAGGTAAGGATACTAGGTCCCAGAGTCACTCGATGTGAGCTGAAGCCGATTTCTTTCATCTGAGTGTTTCCGAAAGTTGATCTCAAAATGCAAGATGGTCTTGGGTCTTGACAATTACGGAATCGTGCCACTTGGTCGCATGGTTGACTGAACCGAGTGGTCACATAATTGTATAATGAGGCCACGGTGGGTGTGGCGGTAGACTAATAGACATGTCGTGAAGGTTGGAGTTTTTGATGATTGTGCTCAAACTGCTTTCTTCTGAAAGGAGTTCCAATCGCCTACTAGAACGCAGTTACACACGGTATTGACTATATACTGCTATCTCTCTATCATTCGGAAAATTGAAATCTAATCAAAAAAGTTCTTCTTGCTCTTCACCGGCTAATAAGGGTGCAACTTGATTCTAGCAAAGAGCAAAGGGAAGCACCTCCTTGAACGGTATCTTGTTTGATTTTTAAAGCCCCTGATTGAAGACTTCAGTCATTCGTTTATCGGTCGCTCTTCGGCATACTACCAGCAATACATTATGCCTAAAGTTGGTGTTATAATATTTAGTAGAAAATTTTAGTTTTTGCGACATAACTTGAGCACCATTTACGGAGGAATGGTGGCTAAAAGAGCGCTTGCGTGACTTAATGTACTACATCGTCACTGTCAACTGAGCAAAAGGCATGAGGGTTCGAGGAAAATGGCTATAATGATCCTCCCTGGTCAACTGATGATAACAACAACGACGTCGCCACCACAGCCGAATACGAACCCTTTACATCTTTGAGATATAGAAGTTTCAAAGAAAGTCTAGCATTCAGCTTCATGATTTCACCCACGAGCTTCATTTCCAAGGTAGAGGTAGAAGAGACCACAGTCTTTTATAGTTAATTTGCGAAAAAGTCATGCCATCTAACGCATGAAAAATAAATGTCTTATAGTGTCGTAAAATTTAGTGCCAGACGAGCAGATCGATAAATCGGGCTTTAGCAAATAGCGAATTTATTGAATGAAGTTATGGCAAAAAATGAATATGCGAACGCCATAATCAATTGAAGAGGACGACCCCTCAAAGGGCAGTCTATGGCAAGCCGAACAGGATTCCAAGATCGAATCAAGGTGTTGTATCGTGTCCTACCCCATCACCCCGTTACTCGAGGAGAAAATTCTTCTACAATAAGTGAATCGTCATATTTGTCTATTGCTCTAACAGCATTTTTCTATAAAAACGTCAGCGTACATATACCAGCGCATCACTTGCCTTAAAACCGGGAACAAACTTTCTTTCAAAAGTATACTGGTCGGACGACTCACTCGATCGCCTCGGAGGGGAAGTGCATGAAGTTGCCTAGAATTATGTTGAACTATCTTGAGTATTTAGGGAAGAAGCGCTAATCTATGCGGTTGAGAGAGACGAAAAAGCTCTTCGATTATCGTTCACAAAAGCAAAATGGCACATGCATCAAGAATGCGAACCATTATGTCATGGCTATCTGTCCGACTCCCTACCGACTTCGCCAGTATTGCACACAGTATTTAGTACTTTGTACGGTTGTCTGCGCAACACAGGTGTATAGCCAGAGAAATATTCATTTCGTTTCCAACGCTCACAGATTTTAGATCAACGTTCGGAAGCACTTACGGTGGCACACATCCCGTCTCAAAAGTCTGAGAACCAATGTCTTTTCCTTGTCACTCAAATTGATCCCCTAACAAAATTCACGTTCGACATCCTGTCCTTTGAATTTGAAAGCTGCAAGGCAGCCTGTTATGGAAAGCGTCTCACTAGAAATTAATCACTTTTCTCGATATTCGCTTTTAATGATTCCGATTGCTTAGGGGCAAGTTTCAGAGTAAAATGATATCGCAAGATCAGGAGGAGAGAACACACCAATGCGCGCTCACTCGCATGTTATGTTGCTAGTTAAAGGGAATCTGGTATTAAACTTGTGCTGAAGGTATTCAGCTGGCTGTGCAGTATTCGGAAGTCTTCTTAGATTACTCGATTGACGATTATTGATGTATTGCATTCTACCCCACTTGCATGAAGTGGCAGCCGTAGTAATTGTTGCATCTCCATAGAAGAAAATATTCCCACTAAAATCGACTGCGCCATAACCGAGCGGCATCCCAAAGATAGATCTTTATACCTGCCATGCTCAATCAAGAATCCCAACCATAGTTCAGAAACTGAATGGAAGATGTGTGGTCAAAGCGAAGTCGGTAGATCTTGACTTCAGTTTGGTAGCGCGACTCGAGATTTGAATTTGGTCGCTGCTCTGTCCAGTACTATACCTGCTCATTAGAACCCATAAATTCTAACTTCGGACAACTCGGCAACAATAACCCTCATGCGTTATTGTTAAGTATATTATTATTTGCTTGGGTGGTCACATTGACAGGACTGTATAGCACAGTTTCCCAATATTATATTAACACCGCTGCATCGTTGTATAGTTCCTCAGTGTTATCTTAACACCACTGAATCGCTATATACATACCATCGCACCTTACTGATTACCACATTTTCCTGAATTAACTTCGTAGAGTGCGATTGAACGGAAAACGGGCTACCTAATTTTCTGGTATGTAATCTCTGTATACCAATCTAAGTCATGATGCTGCTATAGAGACTGGGCTAGAACTTTTCTCCCAGCTCGAACACACAGTCGACATGAATAGGCGTCAATATATCAAACGGCGTCCCTTCAAGAAGGGTGTCTGAATCATAATTTCTTCAGGTGAGCGGGAAAGTACTACGCAAAACTAGAGGCTTCATTATTATACAAGACCGACGCCTACTTCAGCCACTGTCGTCTTTCTAGAACGTTTCAGTCGTTGTGAACAAGATTAAAATTTATGGGCTCAATCCGCCCCTTCCCAAATTTGGCCACAACTCCCGTACAAAATGTTAACACTTCTGTTCGCGCTCCAGAACGTTTTTGAACAAGACATGAATTCACAATCTCAGCCGCGCCCACCCATGTGACAACGGTTGAAGATGAGACCAAACTTCTTCTATAGCCTCAAGCAACATTTAGCGCACTCTAAAACATTTTTGGACGAAGTTTCAAGTTTTTGAACTTCGCCTTACCTGAACTCAGAATTCGACCACACAGCTTCTATTACGTCGAACCGTTTTTCTTCGCGCATGAGAACATTTCCAAAGGATTCATGAGCTTCGAATCATAGCATAGGTGACCTTGGAGATTTGAGACCTCCGCGCTTTAGGATGTTTTGGAAACACTTATGAATTTTTATTCTCCGCTGGACTCGCTTTAGGGATTGGCCACATAGCTTCTGTTACTCTAATGTCTTTTTCCGCACTTCAAAAAAATTTTGATTTAATTTTTTGTGTTCACAATTAGCTTCGCCCATTTCGCAGTTTTGAATACATTCCATCTACTTCCTTGAACCGGTTTTGTAGGCACTTTAGAAAGTTTTGAAACACCATTATAATTATCGGTCTCGTCGTGCCCATTCAAGGAACGCCCACTTAGGTTCTATTACCCTATCACTGTTTTTCGCCTTCAAGAATGTTTTGATCCAAAATTCCGAGCTCAGAATAGGCTTCGCTCATTTCGTAGTTTTGACTGCATTCCTTCTATGTCCTCTAACTGCTTTTCTCTGCACTTTAGATAGTTTTTGAACAGAGTTATGAACTATTGATGTTAGCGCAGCCTATG